TAAAAATTAAAAAAAGATGTACATTTAATCATAAATGAAAATGCTAAAATGTATTTCAGTATGAGTTGATGTGATAGAGTTTGTTTTGGAAATGTATAAAAGTAAGGAAGTAGGAATCTAAAGCTTGTTGTTAGTTACATATTATTTTCCCTAATTCATGTTCTGATGACCAGTCAAATGTACTCTAGATGGAGTGTGAACCCCCACCATTACAGAATAACATCTATGTTAAAGATTAGAACCGACTGGCATTAAATGTTCGTTGTTTTTAATGTTTTAAAACAACTTTATAGGTTAAAATGATTTTAGGGGTCTTTTAATTTTTGATAACTTAAGAGTTGATTGAATGAGTGGATGCTAGATAAGTACTTAAAATAAAAATGCTGCAGTGATGGCTAGTAGTCTTTGGGACACAATTCAAAGGGTTAATGGTTACCTTTAAAGCTCCACATACAGAGCAGGACTGGAATATTTCAGGTAGTGCCTTGCTGAAATTGAACCTGCTTGTTCAGTGCAGAAAGTAAGGATGATGTTCACAGTGAGATTGTCAAGTGGCAGGAAATTAGCAGTCCGGGCAGTACAAATGAATATGAGTTTATAGTATGCTAATGTTTCCCTAAAGAATCTGAATTACTAATGGTCAAAGCAAATTGGCAGTAGATAACAATCAACGGAATTCAAGGAGGGCTGGACTTAGAACTCCTGTTGGCGCGAAGGGACTCAAGATTGATTATGTGTTTGACCCCTCCCTCGGGTTCAGCCTGGTCATTTCCTACAGATATGGAGGAACCAGTACCTAGGCAATGAGGACTGAAATATTGTTTAAGGCCTGAGAAACAAGCTAACATTTGGATGCAGCTCAGGTAGATACCTTCTTGATTCACTGAAGTATAAGTGTGGGAGGGGGAGGGGGAATGATTTGCAAGATTATGTATGATTTGAAATATCCAGGCCAGTATCAATAAATGTCGTTCCAGTTTTCTTAAGTTAATTTCCTGGCCTGGTCTACCGATGGGGGCTCACAGTCTATCTGTCATCTAAAAATAATATATTGAGTTTATTTATTTATTTATTTAAAATACTTATATGGTCACAAAATGTATATGCTATAATTCCAGGCAGCGCATAACAGCAATAAAAACATAAAAGAAATAATAAAATACATTGGTGTGGCCAAGGCAGAAAGTCTACTCTCTGATATCTCCACTTTATAAAATACTTTCTTCCCAGAAATATGTATGATCTTACCTTCTAATATTTTGCTTGTTTAATTTCAACAAATTTTGACACCTAATTAATTGATTTAGGACATCTTACTTAGTTTTCCCATTGTTATTTTACTGCTATGTTGGGCTTATTTTTCTTGTTATTGTATGCCACCCAAAGTATTTTGGGATGGGGTTGGTTGTAGGCACTAGTTGACTGGTAAATATTTAACAACTGACTCTGCTGGCCTCACTGTCACCACCATACCACTAATCACTTGAACAGCTGATTTGAGCATTAGGCATGGCAGTTCCACTCTGCTCCCAACTGGTTCACAAAACTGCAGAAAATAACAATTGGCATTGCAATGACTATGTCAACGTTATTATGTTATATTTTTGATGGTTTTTAAAAGGACTCTAGAAAATCTTAAGTTGTATATAACTTCTGAAAAGATATATAGTTTGTAGAATTTTTTTTTGTAGAAATTTTTCAAAATGGCATCCAATGTCATGCTAAAGTTCTTACTGGAGGATCTCCTATCCTTAGTCGATTGGTTTAAGTACTTAAAACGTAATATCTCCTTAAGTCTGAACTTGATTTGGGGGCTTCATGGTCATATCCAGATCATTTTTGTAGAAATAAAACAAATGTACACTGTCATCTTCTGGGATGTGTTTTCAAACTTCCCAATTTAGTTTACAGCTCTGATATTTCTTACTAGCCTCCTATCTGTGTACCAAGCAGTTTTGATTATTTAAAGCTTTATGAGATTAAGCAAGATTGGCTGGGTGCTGGAAACTGCATTTCAAGATATATACCAAGTTTACTTTGACTGCATAGAAAAAAGCTATCTTGAAAGATAAAGATTGGGAAGGGAAAAGGCTAAGAAAATAATCTGCTCTATTGAAGGGGGGGGATGTAATATGTAATGACAGTACTCTTCCAGCAAATACTTGCAGAAAGCAGAGAAACACTCTCATTAACAAGATACATGTTATTTGCATTTAAGCTTCTTTCTCATCAGTAGAACAAAGTACATCAATATGTTCTGCATCTTGTGAGTGAATATGGGGAGAAGAAATAGAATACACCCACACACACACACTAATAAAAACAAAGGACAAGTCAGGAGGGGGCAGAAATGGGATCGATGAAGTCAAAATGACATGGCAGTTTGTGCAGTAAGAAACAGCTGATTACAGGTTTCCTTGTCCAAGAGTATCATGAGAGCACCAGATAATATTGTAAATAAGATACATTGAAGAAGAACGTCTAAACCATTTTTCACTGCAAAGGTATGTTAAGACTAGCAATACCACTAGCAAAATAAGTCCCTTGTTATATAACTGGGAAAAAATTAAACACCTGCTAAGTCTAGGGTTGATTAATAGTAAACAAAGGAAGCTTAAAAGGGATCTTGGCATAATTATATTTCCATTGCAACCAAGCTATTTGAAACCCAGAAGAACTCTTTGTGTCCCTATGTCCCAATCTGAAAATTTTGTAGGAAATGCAACCACCATTGGAAAATACATGACAGATTTCTGCTAGAAAGCAAGCTATTGGATGCTATTTTAGGAACCTAACTCACAGTGCTTTAGAGCAGTCTTTTCCACAGTTTTGTGCTTTTTAGATATGCTGATAGTACAATTCTAGAAGCCTTAGCCAGTCTGACTCCTGGAAGTAGTTGGCTGGGAAAGGCTGTTCTAGAAAAGCAGGAAAATGAGAAAAAATAGCCTTACATTGAATAGTATTTAAAACTGTGAAAATAAATGGAAAGAAATTCTAGGTGGTTTACCAGACTGGGAAAAGGAAAAGATGATACCAATAGAGGAAATCTGGTATCAAGAGGTTGCTTCCCTGAAACGACACCCAAAAGCAAATCATGAGCAGGAACAAAAACTCTGAGGAAAATAAAAAGGATAAATGATGACCACTTTTAACATTCTCCAAGTGGACACTAATTAGCCTACAGAAGACTGAATTTAGACCAAATACAACTCTTTTTGTTACTGGAAACAACTTTAATATGATATAGGGCACCTCTGTCTAGTCACCAAACTACTATTGGAAGGATGAGAAGGAAATGTAGATGAAGATAGGAAGGTAAGCATATACAGTCATAGAGAAATTAATACAAGGCTTGCTGCAGTAATTCATGACAACATTACTCTTGCATTCATTTATGGGCAAGTGAAGCAGAAGTGCCAGCGACTACAGTGAGAAGAATTGATGGTGTCCCAGAGGGAAGGAGTTTCAATAGAATAAAAAGGAAAACAACAGCAGAAAATTTCCATTTTATTGATCCTCTTGTGACAGGGACATAAAACTGTATTATAAGAGGGAAAAAAAGAACATTTCGAAATGCATAGAACCCATGCAATATAAATATAAAGCCCGTCTGTTGTTGTTGTTGTTGTTGTTGTTATTGTTAGTTACGAAGTCATGTCCAACCCATTGCAACCCCATGGACAACATTCCTCCAAGCCTTTCTGTCCTCTACCATCCCCCGGGAGTCCATTTAAGCTCACACGACTCCATCCAGCCACCTCATTCACTGTCGTCCCCTTCTTCTTTTGCCCTCAATCTTTCCCAGCATTAGGCTCTTCTCCAATGAGTCCTTCCTCCTCATTAGGTGGCCAAAGTATTTGAGTTTCATCTTCAGGATCTGGCCTTCTAAAGAGCAGTCGGGGTTGATCTCCTTTAGGACTGACCAGTTTGATCACCTTGCAGTCCAAGGGATTCGCAGGAGTCTTCTCCAGCACCATAGTTCAAAGGCCTCAATTCTTTGCCGCTCAGCCTTCCTTATGGTCCAACTTCCACAGCCATACATTGCAACTGAGGAAACCACAGCTTTTTTTTCCCCCAATGGTGCTTGGAATTATGGAAGTTCATTATATTAGCAATGATACATTGAAGTATTATTCCATTTCACTTCATTTAAAACTGCCGTTCATGCATTTCTTTTCTATAAAGTTTAAACCTTTTAATCAAAAGGAGGCTTGATTTTTTTTTTTCTTGAAACAATTCTTGAATAGGTTGTAACATTTGCCAACAGGCAAGGTGGTTTGGTATAGATTAGAAGTTAAAGTACCGGGTTACTTAAGACAATATGTGATCTTTCCTATGCTATGACAACACCCACAAAGAAAACAATCCTTCATTTGGAAGTCATATTCTACATCCCCACACCCGCACGCCACCTTTATACAGGAAGGTCAACCCGCTTAGAAGCACTGCTATTAATTCAAGTAATTCAAACACTAATTCAAAAATCAGAATTAAAAGCCGCTCCAGTGGTTCACTGCCTCCAGAGAAAGCATGTGCCGAGATGTGAGGGAATCACTGGAGATTCCATGCAGGAATAAGAGAATCTGAAAGAGGAAGCGCTCATCCTAAAATTAAAAAGAGTCAAGTGCAAGGTTTCTGTGCAAGACTGTGACGAAGACGGTATAAAAAATAAAATAAAATCCAAGTTCGGCAGCAGAGAAACCGCGTTAGGGCTGAATTACTAGTTGTTACCCCTTGGCAAATGAAGACCGCGCGGCTCTAAGACAAAGGCCTTTTATAGAGATCTATAGATATATATATATAACGGCGCTGTAGTCTAGCGCTGGAAAAGCGGTACTCTGCACTTGCTCAGTGACGCTCTCATTGCGGGGGACGAGGCGGGGGAGGGGGATTCACCACGATCCGCTCGCCATGAACGCAGGCGGTCCACCCAACCGGACGGTCAATCAGCCACGGCTGAAAAATTCTCTTGCCACGCAAGGAAAAGAGCGAGCGAGTACCTGTATTTCCTGAAGAGCTGGTCCGATTCCCGGAATCCGTTGTTGAGCAGCATATTGATTCCAGCCAGCGCTAGCTCGGCGTCCTCGAAGGGCAGCGGCGCCTCTCCGGTACCGCCGTCCTGCTCGGACCCGGCCATGGTCGTCGGCAGGTGGGAGACCCACCCAGCAGGCTCCTTGCCCGCTGCGTGGCGCTCCGCCGCTCGGGGGGACACTGGAGCAAGACGAGCCAACCCGGCGTCGAAGCAGGCTGGGCACCTCGCGCCTTCCCGCTCTTTCGGGCACGGTCCGCCGCTCCACGGCTAACCGCTCTTGCAGCTCCTGCAGCCGTGGCCACAAGCCCAGCCGCTGAGGGGAGAGAGAGAGAGAGAGAGACCTCGCAACCTTCGAGCCGAGGCTGGCGGCTGCAGCTTGCCCGCTGCTAGGGCGCCTGCGCGGGAGGGCAGGAGTCTGCGCGCTGCCACCTCTGAAGCGGCTTTGCCCTGAGCGCCGGCTTCCTTTCTCGCTTCAGAGACCGGCTGCTCTGGTTTCCACGGGGAGAAGAGGTCTGGGGCGGCACCCTATTGTGCGCTCCCGGTTGCTCTTCCTTCGGGGAATAAAGGAGGTGGTGGTGGTGTGTTTTTTTTTCAATATAAAAGGGGCGAAGCGAAACGGCCTACTAAAAGCCGAAGAGAGTACGCGGCCCATTTAAGGCAGCGCAGTGGGTAATATGCAGTTAGAGAACCGGTTTGGTTTATAGTGCTTAAGGCGCCTGGCTAGAAAGCAAGGAGACTTGAGTTGCAGTCCCGTTTTAGGCGTGAAAGACGGCTGGGTTGACTCTGGGCCAGTCACTCACTCTCAGCCCACGAGGCTTCGGCAGCAAGGTTCCTGTCGCAACCAATGGCTCAACACTCGGTGGATCCGAAAAACGGATCCTATATTTACGGGGAAAACGCTAGGAAGAAAAGAAAAAAATCGGGTAATGAACAATACGATTACAATCGGACAATCCGAAGTTTCAGTAGGATGCTACTTTTCTGGCCAGGAGCTTTGGAGTGATGTCCAGTCCGTTCTAAGCGACGGTGATGCCGCTGGGCGTGCAAGTCGTTTATCGAAAGCCGCGTTGATGGGAACTGAATCTGTCATCTCCCACACGTACCTGAGGCTGAGCCCTATTGAATTCACTGGGGGTTTCCACTAGCTTCATAATACGTAACATAGGACGTATCTTTCTGACTTTGGAAAGGAGCAACTGGAAGTTGAGAAATACTGAGCTATGTGGCCGGGATTATTATTATTTTTTAAATCTGCTGCTTGCTTTATTATTGTGGATGCTCAATGCCCTTTATTTATTAGTTAGATTTATTTATTAGTTAGATTGATATGCCGCCCTTCTCCAGAGACTCAGGGCGGCTTACAATGCATTAAGCAATAGCCTTCATATTTTTGTATATACCTGCTTGGTAGGGCTTTCGGGGCCCCCTAAGCGGTGTTCTTTTTTATACAAAGTCATCTTATTGCCCCCACAATCCGGGTCCTCATTTTACCTACCTCGAAAGGATGGAAGGCTGAGTCAACCTTGAGCCTGGTGAGATTTGAATTTGCAATAATTGCAGGCAGCTGGCAACTAAGTGCTACTTTAACAGCACTTAGTCCACTGCGCCATCAGGCTCTTATCAGTGAGAATAGCAGTCAGATTTATCCTGCATCCCGTTAACGTTTTAAATCGGGGTCTTAAATTGCTAATTGGTCATTTTATTACTGTTTTACCCAATGCAAAAGTTCTTTTACGTAATGAATAGTTGGGGTTTTGATATTCAATAGCAAAAACGTTATTTAAAGCTAAATCAATATTTTTAACTGGTCACCTTTCTGCAGCAGTTTTTTTTTAAATTATTTATTTACAAATTTAAAAAAGATCAATGCACCAGAAATATTCCAAAGATTGCTGAAACATCTTGCGAGGCTTTCCATACTGTAAAATTAATCTCAAATGCTTTTTGTTTCTTCCCATGTCAGACATTTATTCATGTGATTGTTGTCAGTTCTAAATAAAGTACAAATCGTCTCAAGATGTAAGCTAAGAGTTTATTTTTAGCCTGTTAGAGATAAATTCTTTAAAAAATGGACTTATGTTTTTCATTAAACCATAGTTAGTGTGCTTGTTCATGTCAGAGCATACTGTGAGAATTCAGCTGCTGTGCTTTGTAAACAATTGCTAATAGTTTTATTGTGTTTTGCCAACCCAGCCAATAAACTGTGGTCAAACAAGCCATGCACTGAATTAACTCATGTTTTCATTTTCCAATAATATCCTTATTCCTAACCTTCTTCCAGAGATATATGCAGTGGATATAAAAAAAAGTCATGATGGCAGCCACAACTGTGCAATTGAAGCCCCACCTCTTTTAAAATGCATATATTGAAAAGGATGGGTTTACAATTACAGAGTAACAGGTAAGATTCCACAACCAATTGCACCCTGATTTCAGGTGACCCTGAGGCTACAGATAAACCCTCCAAGTTGCCGCAACAGTTCTCAGAGAGTGCAGATGTCTGCAAAGAAATACAATCCTTCTATCCCCACTCCAATCCTATCAGAACCTATCCTTCCATCCCACCTCTCATCAGAACAGATTAAGCTTCTGATATGACAAGCAAAATGTTTTCTTCTTTTTCAAGGAGAAAACAGTCTAATTGCCTTCTGAAGAAAAAAAAAAAAGCATTTTTGAGACAAGGTATGATAGTAGCTTTTTTTAACACTCCTCCTGTATTTTCATTAAAATTAAGAATATTATAGTGACATTTTAAAATTTATCACATAATTTAAGATAGTATTCTTTATAGAATCATAGAACTAGTCCAGAAAATTTTCCTGAAAGCAAATAGTAATCTCACTGTTTGCAAAATTCATGCTAATAAACATCTCCCATATATGGCATTTGTCCCAATGTATTTTCTTCCGAGATTTATATAATAGATTTGGGCAATACTGTTGGGCCCCACTGAAGTCCTGGGTGAAGAAGTGAAAAGAAAGAGAACAGCTGGCTACGGAAAGTTAGAAATTCTAGAAGCTCCTTGAAGACTGGAATTCTCATCTAAGGGAATCCATCCACTTGTCAACTCTGAAAGAGAAACTGAATGGCTAGATAATTGGTTCAGATTTTTAAGCCCTGGAGAAGCCTTGTGTCATTATTTTATGCTGCATCCAGACTTTGTTCAAGGACTAATTGGATGATGAAAGAACAATTTTTTAAACTGTAAAATCCAGACATTAATTCTTGTCCTTGATGATAGGCAAACATACAGCTTTGATGGCAATTGGGAAGAAAACACTGGGACAAATCAGATTGTTTTTCTATCAGTGAAACTGTAGATGTATACTGGAATAATGGGAAAATATCCAGAATTCAGTGACAATACTCAAGCCATTTCTAGATATCATAGCAAATAGATTCAGTATCTGGCCACTGACCACTGGTATAAGTTTTATATGCATATTATATGCAGAATCAAATCAGGCATGTTGGGATGGAGGGCAGCGGACAAAATAGGGGACATGTGTCTATAGACAATGGAATGTTCACTAGCTGATTCTCATAGCAAAAACTATTACAAAGTTTATGGTGGGAATAAAATATGAGGAGACTCCATTTATATTACCTTGAGCTTCCAGAGAAATAATTAAAAGTGTCATAATTGTACTATAGCACCCCCCAACAGATAGCCATATATAGCCTCTGTTTAAATATCTCCAATGAAGAGTTTACCGCCCTGCCATTCCGTTACTGAATGTTACTATTCAGGACATATTGTTACTATTACTATTGGGACATATTTCTTGATGTCCAACCAAATTTTATCTCCTTATAATTTAGACACGTTATTTTTGCTTTGTCTTCTGTAGAGGAATTCTACATCCAATTTGGATGCAGAAAAGAGAAGAGGCTGTTCAGTGTCTGTTCTATATTTATGAACAAGTGCTTCACCATACTACTCACTCTACACTTGAGAGAAAATCACATACTTACACAATGCAAAGAATTTCAGCAGAAAGAATTAGCCAGTTTTAGTCAAAAGAGGTTGCTTGTTGATGCCTTATTGATACTGATATTCAGACTGCCACAGAAATGTGAAAAAAGTTCCATAGAAATGTTACACTCTTTAACCAACTCAAAGTTTGACTGTCCAGAACAGTTTATAAACTAGCAAAATAATAACAGGGCTGTAAGAGAGATATAGAATTTTATTTATTTCTCAGAGAAACTAAAAGCATAGATGGGCAATTTTCCAATTGGTCACATTGTTATTTTGGAAACCTATAGGAGGAGGGCAGGATTTTTCATCCACTTTTCCTCTTTTTCGTTTGTTTTGATAACCTTAATATCTGTGAATGGTATGAAACCCTGGAATCTGGCATTGTTCATCTTTGCAAGAAATTGTGGTTTATCCTGTTTCACAGTGCCCCATGGACAGAAGGATGGCGTGTAAATAAGTTAAAATTAATATTTAGAAAATATAAATCCAGCATGATATGCAAATAAATGAAATATATCTTTTTAAATAAGAGAAATGGTGGAGGAAGGCTACTTTGTCTCCTCTAACCACAAAGGAATCAGTAAAGAACATGTCACTAATATGTCTAAAATGAATGAATTCAGCAACACACCAATCTTTGTGTTTGATATCTGTATCACAAGTTATGAAAACCTTTCTCTCAGAGCTTCAAGGACTTTGGAAAAGCAATGGGGATATTTGAAATAGATGGGTAGCTTAAGTTGATGTGACAAGTTCAACATGATGATCCTCATTTTTGTAGGCATTAAGAGTTTCATAACTTCAGTTTTCTTGTGAGCTACAGTTGAAATTTACCAAATTATTATCAATATCTAGTAACCAGGACACTATCTGTAATTCCCTAAAATGACAATTTTTCTCTTACTACATAAGAGTATTTTATATTCAAGCATGTATTCATAAACATGCGCTGCACTGCAGTTTGTAGGTTGTCTGTATCACTTGATATTTCAGATCTTTACAATTTACCAGTCAGGCTTGAAATAAGGAATTTTAATACTTGCTATGTTTTACGTGTACATAAAGAGCCTTGAGTAAGTGTATGTGAGAGTCAAAGACTAACTTTGCTTTCTTAATTCCCTGCTGTCCTTGTTACTCTTCTCATGTACAATGAGTCTGTGCGTGTGTGGTGTGCATCATGTGTGCGTAACAATCAGTAAGTGAACACAGATGCTCTCAATTGCAGTTTATAATGAACCTGAGAAGGGATATGTTGAGAAGTTGATAGTTAATGTCATGCAAATTGATTTAATATGTCTTTTTAAAAAAGGCCTAAATAAGTCCTTTCTATATTTGCCATTTAATACACGCAAAAGCAGAGAAAATTGTGAAAGAGATCTCAGATAGTAAAAGTATTTCCTGGTCTACAGTCTTCTAGGATTTTAAATGTGGACACTTTGAATACATTCCCCTCACCTCCAAATTAAACTAATTACAGTAACCTCATGGATAGGAAATATGCTGTCTCTGAGCTACCTCTCTGAGCATTTCTCACCATTGGCCATGAAGGTGTGGGCTGCTGAAAATAATAATTCAACACCATGTAAAGGACCCCTTGGACTTCATCCTTGAACAAAATATCCTTTGTACATTACCAGTTTTAAGACCACAGTATGATACCTCTATGAATCTACTTTAATCAGTGAAAACCATTTTCATGCTGCAAGCCAGACATTTGCAAATTTAATATGGTAGCCCTATGGTTACTAAATGTATAACGTATTGATTGATAGCCTGTCTTTGATGTGGTTGTTTAGCCCTTGACATTTGGATGGAATGTAAATTTACCCTGCTGTAATGTAAGTGACACACATTTTTGGAGCAAAGTATTTCTTCAAGGTTGGTTCCACCAACACTGATTCTGAATTTATTTTTACTCTTAGCCTTTCACTGACCACATTGACTGCTTGTTGATACTATCATTAGAGGCTGTGAACATCAGCTGTGGTACATCCAAAAATAAATAAGGAAAAACTGGAGAGTATTGTTAAAACTCTCTTACAATAAATACAAAATCTCTGTGTCAAAAAATCTCCATAATCAGAATCCTATTCTTTTTTTAAGTTTATGGAATTATTTCATCTATTTGATCCATTGTCAAAGATCAAAAGAAATACAGCAATAGAATATAAGCTAATAAAACAAGATGAGAAATAAACATATTGAAACAGCAGAAGTTAATGACAAACATTATAGTCTTCTGCACGAAGCATAAAACCATCCAGTCTTAAACATCTAACAGTAACATGTATTAGCAATTTAAAGTGGAGAAAAATATGTCAACTTTTGGTATTTTGTGAAGTACTTAGCTATCTTGCAAATGGCTACTTCCTTAGATACATTTTAATGATCTCTTTTATCCTCTCCTCCATACATTGTTAAGATCACAGAAGAAAATATGAGGGGGGGATTAGGTCCATGTTCTTTCAAGTGAGGAAATGCCCTTGAAAAAAAAGTGTTAAATGCTTCCTCTCCCAACATGTCAAAAGTGGTCACATGCAGCCACTGAAGTAAAAAAAATCAGATATTTTCCATAAGCCACCAAAAATGTTATCTAAGGATTATCTCCTTCTAGACAAGAATAAATGGTACCCACATTTACTTGACTATGGAAGGACTTTTTCTAGATTATTTTAATTTATAAATTTTCTTTTTTAATTTTTTAAAATTAAAGAAGTTGGCAAGTGTGTTTCTTTCCGATGCCTCATATATAATTTGAGGGTAATATTCTACAGATTCTGTTGTGTGTGCTTGAAACAATAATAAAGCTTAGTCTATAATTTAGGGATGAAACTGATACAAGTGTTCATTTTATTCAGTAACTCCCCAAAGTGGAAGAATTTTCCTCAGCTAAACACATTAAATGTGCATGTTCAAACATAATAATTTTCATGAACATTTCACAACAGCATTTTCTGTAGGCAGCAGAGCGCTGATGCTTAGAACAATCCGCTCAAGGCTTCTTGCTTTTATTCTGAAACTCTAAGCTACGTATGACTATATTCTTTTGTTCTGGTATTGAAGGAAAAGCAGGCATAGAAGGCCAAAAACAGGAGTAAAGCAGCAGCAGCAGCAGAGGGTGCTGCTTACAGTTACTCCTCTCCAAATGGATTTACTAGTCAAAATAGGTAAGATGGCATTCTGTCCTTCATTCTTGGGACAAATGGCCTGAAGTGCTAAGGGAAAAAGAGGGCTTGAAAATACATAATGGGAAATTGTTAAGCACTACATTCTGCTGGTTTTCTATCCCAGCACTGAGTTTTCCTCTCTGAAATGTATATGTAAACATTTCATAATCTCCGTGAGTAGGTGAAAATCCAAGTATTAGCATGACGGATAACAAACTGTAGCAAGAGAACCGGCTAGAGGCACTGGCATAA